TGTGTGTGTGTATATATATATATACACACACACACACACACACACACACACACATACACATACACACACACACACACACACACACACATAATAATATTTCCATGTTCTTACGGTGAAGCACGGATAGCGTAATCCCGTAACCCCCATGCTATTCAAGGAAGCTAACAGCTTTTCCCTTCTTTTTCTTGTAATCCTTCTTGCAATTCTTCTTGTTTTGTTTCTTTTAAAATGTTGATATTCCCAGCGAGGGACAGAGCAGGGCACGCCCAATGAGAAATTAATTAAAAGCAGAGACGTAAACAACAAGGAAGTAAAATTTTGCTCTGCCCTAAGAAGTCTGTAAACAATCGGGACATTTTCATTCTGCATTTCAGATAAGCGGTGATTGACAGAAAACAGGCCAGCCAAAGAACCTTTTGAAGAGGAGACCATGGCTTGTGTTACCTTGACAATAAGGTGCAAAGTCTCGGCCGCTAGGATCCTGCGGTCCATCTGCCTTGTTTCTTCCAGAAGCTTCAGCCAAGGCAAAACCTCTTTGGCAGCTCAGAATTTTACAGATTACAAATCCATTTGCGACCAGTATAAGCCAGAGGTGCCGGAATATTTCAATTTTGCCAAAGATGTGGTGGACAACTGGGCCCAGTCAGAAAAGGTATTATTATATTCCCCATCCCAACCCAATCTTTTGCGTAAGTGGATTTAAGGGATCTCGTGTTTTGGGGAATACAGGTAGCCCTCAACTTACGACCGTCATTGAGCCTGGACTTTCTGTTGCTAAGTGCGACCGTTGTTAATTGAATTTTGTCCCGGTTTGATACCTTCCTTGCCACAATTGTTAAGTGAATCACTGCAGTTTTGAAGTAAGTAACAAGACAACTCTTTCAATGGGACAGAAGTTGCCTTCGGAAGGAGGCTTTCAAGAAGGGATTGGACTGCCATCTGTCAGAAATGGTGTAGGTAGGGTCTCCTGTTTGGGCGATGGGGTTGGACTAGATGACCTATAAGGTACCTTCCAACTCTGCTATTCTATATTCAGCTTGCCTTTGGAAGTTGTGGGAGCTTCATCCATGGAAGCTTTCTAGAAGAGACCAGATTGGCATCTGTCAGAAATGGTGTAGGTAGGGTCCCCTGCTTGGGTGATGGGGTTGGACTAGATGACCTACAAGGTCCCGTCCAACTCTAGTATTCTATATTCAACGGAACAGAAATTGCCTTCGAAAGTTGTGGGAGCTTCATCCCTGGAAGCTTTCTAGAAGAGACCGGATTGGCATCTGTCAGAAATGGTGTAGGTAGGGTCCCCTGCTTGGGTGATGGGGTTGGACTAGATGACCTACACGGTCCCTTCCGGCTCGGCTACTCTGTTAAATCTGTAGTTCTCTCCCCAAAGTCCCTGTTCATGTCCACTTGTTGCCCGTTGCCATCTTGGAGTTTGAGGCCTGTGCAGAATGAGGGCAGAGGCTCTCCCGATCTGAGCAGATTTTCCTCACGGCTGACTTCTTCTTCCTCCACCCCCAGGAAGGAAGGCGTCCCCCCAGCCCTGCTCTTTGGTGGGTCAGTGAGCAAGGAAGCCAAGTGGAGTGGAGTTTTGTGGAGCTGGCCTTGGAGTCCAAAAAAGCCGCCACGGTGCTGTCCGAGCAGGGCGGCCTGCGGGAAGGAGACCGAGTGGTGGTGATTCTCCCGCGCGTTCCCGAATGGTGGCTCTTGAACCTGGCTTGCATCCGAACAGGTGAGAAGTAACAATGTCCATCTACCGGCCTGAGTTTTGACAGGATGGAGGAGTGGAGCCTTTGGGGCAAGGCAAACAGAACCTGTCTCTTTGCTCTTGGCATCGGCTAATGCACCAATCGTGCTTCTCAACTGTGGCTACTTTAAGGGGTGTGGATTTCAACTCCTCGTGGAGAAACATTGCATTATACATATATGATTTTCATTCTCATTCCTTTTCCCTTTCCCTCTCTCTCGCTTGCTGTCAGGATTCCGGCAGTTACCCCCGTTTAAATCATGAGTCTTGAGCCAAACTTCCAAAACTTCAAAAGGATTTATTGGGAGTTAACATGTCCGGCACTGCCTAGGTGTAGCCGACTCTGAGACCCATCACATTCATAATTCACATAATTTTATGAGTTGACTCTCTCTCTCTTTCTCTCTTTCTTTCTCTTTCTTTCTTTCTTTCTCTCTCTTTTTCTTTCTCTCTCTCTCTCTTTTTCTTTCTCTCTCTCTCTTTCTCTCTCTTTCTCTCTTTTTCTCTCTCTCACTTTCTCTCTTTTTCTTTCTCTCTCTCTCTTTCTTTTTCTCTCTTTCTCTCTCTCTTTCTTTCTCTCTCTCTTTCTCTCTCTCTCTTTCTCTCTCTCTCTCTTTCTTTCTCTCTCTTTGTTTCTCACTCTCTCTTCCTTTCTCTTTCTTTCTCTCTCTTTCTCTCTCTCTTTCTTTCTCTCTCTCTCTTTCTCTCTCTCTTTCTCTCTCTTTCTTTCTCTCTCTCTCTTTCTCTTTCTTTCTCTCTCTCTCTTTCTCTTTCTCTCTCTTTCTTTCTCTCTCTTTGTTTCTCTTTCTCTTTCTTTCTCTCTCTTTCTCTCTCTTTCTCTCTCTCTCTCTCTCTCTCTCTTTCTTTCTTTCTCTCTCTCTCTCTCCTTTCATGCTCTCTGAGTTTGGTTATTTTCTTGCAGACATTTCCTTATCCACCTTGGCAACATCATCAGTGCTAGAACTAAGGTTACTTGATGACCTAGGACTGATGATGAGATCTAATTGGGAAAGGAAATATCTGTAAACTCAGAGAGCAGCAAGGACCACATAATCCTCACCACCTCCTTTCCCCTTTTCTCTCCTGCTCTCCTTTCCTCACTCCCCATTCCTTTTCTTTCTTCTCTTCTTTCATTTTGTCTCCTCTTCCTCCTCCTCTCCA